GCTTTGCTTCATACGAGGGTCTGGACTCTTGGCTATGGAGAAGTGATTCTTGCTGGAGGCGTGGCCTCTGCTGAAGTTTAAAATGATTGGATCAGTTGGCCGCGACATTCATGTGTGCCAGCTCCACTGTGAAGGAGGCTAAGCTAAGAAGCTAACCGGCTATCGCGTGTGCTGTAAACAACCCTACTGAGAGGAGAAAAGTACCGAGCCGAACGAGACGGCTGTAAGTGTGAGCTGCTGCTTTGTCAGACAAATTTAATTTAATTTGGGAGCCTTATCAACACAGACTGGCTTCATTCACTTCCTCCACTGCCATTGCTAACTAACTAGTAGACACTGCACAGAAAATTGATGTCGCTCAAAACTCTGCCTTCCGTTTGCTGATTGGCCCAAGTGAAATAAACTACAAGCAGACACTGCGCAGAAAATCAACGCTGTCGTTCAAAACTCCGCCTTCTGTTCTCTGACTGGCCTGGATGAAATTCTGCTGAAGAAATCCTTGTCTATGGGAGAAATCCCAGATGGAGAAGTGAAGGGAAACTAGWATTGAGCGGAACTGTGTAGGAAGGCAAGGACYAGGCTAGCAATTTAGAGAAATCCTCTTCAAAATTTCACTTGTTAGCTTGTTTCCCAGGAGAACCTCTATCTGATAAAAATCAAACTATAAAGCTCTGCAGGTAAGATATTGATTATTATTGAACTGTAAAGAACCCCACTTCAGAAAATGTTAATTAATCTTAAGCCTTTAGAGACAGTTTATGTGATGACAGGAAGCAGTAGGTTGCTTTAGCACTTTCGTAAAGCTTTAAAGAATGATTAGCACTTGATTTGATTTGATTTGATTTATTGATTCAACAGGAAAAGATTACTAAAAATCAAGTCTGAGTCATCATAATTGCTGTTTTACAGCAGGTTCCTGTTCTGCAACACATAAAACACTCAGAAATACAGCATCACAATCACATCATTATACACCATAGACACNCCCCAAAAAAAAAAAAAACATAGTTCAGAATAATGATGTTGATTATCCTGTGCAGCTTCAGCTTCTCCTTCAGGGACCAGATTACAGACGGGGGTGAGAGGGGGGAAGGTGGGGGCCAAGCCACAAGTCGACATAAACACCAGGAGAATTTAGATCCACAGCCCTTCAAGGCCATGAGAGCCGAATCCGTAATCACAGTTGTTTGGGAACAGAAGAAAATGTTTTTGGTCAGGCAGACAATAATAATTTTCCACCTGCCTTAATGTCTGCTGGTGCATCCCAATGTGACGAATCYAATCAAATATTGTGGGCAATCCCACCGAGCTGAGCTATCAACTTCTCCAAGATCAATTCCATCTCACCAGCAAAGTCCAGGAACCGCAGCCGACCCGCAACCCTCAGCAGAACCGCTTGCAGACCGAGGCCCAGCTCGCACAGGGCGTGARTCTGAGTGCTGATAGCACGGCARTCCTTCATATTGGTCAGGCAGCCAGGAAATGGCCTGAATARCCACCGACGCTGTTTTTGCAGAACACCAGGAGACCACCAAGCCAATCTGTGGAATCCAGTGATATGTGCTAGTTGAACAGAGCAGAACAGAGGTACCACCTTTGACATGTCCTCCCATGGAAAAAAAACTTGTTCCAAAAATTTATCAAGAGACCAGCTAACATAAAAAAAGTGACCAGCTAACCAAATCCATAAAAATAAATCCAGAATTTTCAATTTCGGATGAAAACGTAGAGGAGGCTCCAAGCAGCCAAGCAAGGAAAATAAGGAAAGGGTCTTACTCCTCCGAGAGTAGAAGAAAAAAATATATATATATTAAAAGCATCTTGAAATTGTACATCCAGTTCCTACTCTAAATTTTCCAGTATACTTTCTCATAACTGTTCACACATGTTTATCTTAGTTTCTTGACTCGCTCCTGTTCAAACCTTGCTCTTTGCTTGTTTTTCCTGGAATAAACTCTTACTCGTTTGTTTAGACCTATTCCAACCCAACTATGTGAACAGAGATCATTACTAGGCTGTGACATCGATTGAAAAAGAAAAAGAAAAAAACAACAACACAAAAACAGGTCTGTTTCTCACATCTTTTCCCCTTCTCGCTGTTCTTTTTCTGTCAATAACACTGCTGAGCGGTGCCAGTAAAACAAATGTGTGATCATGTGGTTTTAAACATGCACCTGTTCACAGCAGCCTTTTTGTCTGCAGAGGCAWTGATGTGATAGAAACTAGAACGCTGTGTAATCCTTTACTGATGCAGCACCGTAAACCTGCAGGGAAACAGTCCTTGTCTCTATCATCTTTTCCGTCTTTGATCTGCTCTGTCACAAAGTTGTAAGCTGGGGAAGCAGCCGCCAATGGCTCTTTTCCAGATTGGATTAATTCAAAAGTGCTTTTCAAAGGCGTATCGATAGTAACAAATTCAATTTATGACCTGCGGAGTACCCAGATGGAGAAACAAGACCTTTAACACAACCTCRTTGTCTGACTTCTTTATTCTAAAATGCTGTGAATTATCATTTTATGACTTCTGAGATGAATGACTCGGCCAAATGCAAAACAGTCTCAGCTGCATCAAAGACCTGTTGTTTCAAACAGGGGTGCATGAACTGCAGTTTTCTGGCCATTTGCTGTTTTGCTGTTGAATGCTGCCCCATAATTAACGAATAGGTCATGGAATTTAAAGAAACTCTCCTGGTTTTATGTAGAGTGTGAAATGAATGCTCTGTTGTTTCTGATATTGCCAGTAATTTTTAGTGTTTACCTCGCAGCTGTTTAATATCCGTAGGTAAATTTTGTGAGAAAATCGACTGCAGTGCAATCATAAGCTTTCATAAAATACTTTCAAGATTAAGCAGAGATGCATTCTTTTTATTTCAGCGGAAGGAAGCAGCATAGGGCATTGAAATCAACCTGCCAACATTACTCTGCTGAGCCAGCAAAGTAGGTAGTCACAGAGCTGTAGTGGTATGTATGTGCAAGAGCTTGATGACGTATTGTAGGGATTATAGATGGTGTGCCACTGGATTTTAGAACAGGAATGTTTATGCAAAGTGATAAGTCACTGCTGCTAGGTTAAACTCTATGGTGTTTATGTCTAGGCTCACATTGTTACAAAATAGCTTAAAGAGGAGCTGGTCTTTGCAGTCTTTCTGCAGAACTTTTTTGTGAAAATGTTTGCAGAGTCCAGAGTAAAAAGTGAGGAAAAAAAAGATTTATAAAGATTTACACAACAAAATGTAAATAGGTTACTGTAGCATGAAAAAACATACACGGAGAACTGAAGTATGATCAAGACATGACATTTACACCTTCAGATACCGTTGCTGGTTCAAAAGTAAAAAAGCTATAATAATGGTAAAAGAGGTATAAACATCTTATCATACATTTTGGCTATACATATCATACCTTATTTTAAATTATTGCGTCAGAGTCTTAAATAAGACTCAAATTCATACATTTTTGATACAGAAACATGAACAAATCCATGCATAAAAAAACATTCCCGCGTTAAAGTAAACAAAAGCCAGCTTCAGGCGGATCAGTTTTCTGCTGCATCCTGTGAACTCCTAGCAACCTGGGAGAAATGAGCTCAAACACGGGCTGAACTGTGTAGCAGTGTGCGTCAGGGTGACTTTACTGTGAAACCAGCGTATGTGTTCTGTAACTGAAGCTGTAATCGAGCGGACGAGAACACTGCTGTGGTAGTGTTTGTGTGTGTTTGTGTGTGTTTGTGTGTTTGTGTGTGTTTGTGTGTGTGCGCACGCGCGCGTCTTTCTCCTCGAACAGATCTGTTAAATGGCTCTGTGTACGTGATGGTACTCTCACACTCCCACACACAGCAATTAGTGCGTTAGCCTGCTAGCACTTTGACACCTCAGCACCGCAGAGATAAGGCATATTCTGCTTACACTTACACAAAAAAAAWAWATATATATAAAAATAATACTGTTATTTAACTTGATTGATGGAGCCGGGAAAGTTCAAAAACCTGAATCACAGCTACAATCTGGCAGCTGAAATTAAAATCATTTCATTTTTAAACCACTTATAGGCATTTTGGCTAAATAAACAAATAAAGCAAATAACACTACTATAAAATAAACAGTGTGACAGTTCAACTCTGACACATAAAAGCAATAAATTAGCAAGTTCACTTCCTAAAAGAAGAGAAAAAATTATTTAAAAATGTATTTAAGTATTTAACTCAAGCGACACTATATATATATATATATATATACATACATATTTTTTCAGCAATCACCACATTTAGTTTTGTTTACGAGTTAGGGAAGAATGAGGCATGATATTGACAGATGGACTGGTACAGCTTCTGCAATTTTGTATACTTTGTGTCGGACTATTGCAGTGATGGGAGAACTGAGCTGCAAGGTCAGCTCTCCTGTGGTCTACATTCATACCGTATGGTCACTAAAAAATGAGATCTTGGATTGAGAGTGCTGAAAGGATTTTTCTCTGCAGGGTAGCTGGGCTCTCATTTTTAGATTGGATGCAAATTTCAGTTATCTGGTAGAGACTCAGATTGTGCTGCTGCTTCTCCACATCAAGAGGGCCCAGTCGAGGTGTTTCGAGCATCTGGTAAAAATGTCAAACTGGGATGAGACCCTGGAAACGCCTTTGAATCCTGCTGTGGAAAGAGCTGCCTGGGGCTCCCCATTCAAGCTGCTGCCTCGACGACCCGACTCCTGAACAAGTGGCAAATAATGGATGGATGGATATAAATAGCACTGGTTTATAAAAGCTTTTTTTCCCCTCCTTTTGCTGTTACAGAGAGAAAAAAATGTTGGAGGTAATGGGGGGAAGTCCATCCATATCTGTGTAGCACATCCTCTCAAATGGAAACATAAACAAGCTGAAGTGTACAAAATGGGTTTAGTGGAAGATCACCACAGGGTCACTCGGAGCTGAAGTTGAACTTGAAACATACAAAGACAGCAACAGCTATGAAAGATTCCTGTGTAACTAATGTTTTAATGTCCCGACAGGTGCTGGGGAGTCTGGGAAGAGCACCATTGTAAAGCAAATGAAGTAAGTTATAAAACCAAACTTTATATCACTGTTTTGTCTAATTTGTGATCTGTTCTGTTTAAACTTACTGTATATGGATTCTAAAAATAATGTAAAACACCATGTTTGTACCTGGGGATGTCCTTTCAATAGTTCACTGGTTTTAACTTCTAATAATCAGAACCTCTGTCAGTAATCATAACAATGATGTTACAAAGGATGAATTTAAACCCTTGCACTTTAGTTTCCAGGGGTAATACAATCACTTATTTTCTTTGTGTGGAATGAATTTCTTATCACAGATTCACTGACGCAAATGGATCTGCACAAACTGAGGACACTAAAGAGTTTAATTATCCACATTCCTCAGAGCTAACCAGGCACTGAATACATTTTTTATGAGCCTGAAGTGGGAACAGTTCATTGTTTTTGAAATAATTTAATTATACGTCCAGACACACGGATAAATCACCCTATGAGGCGTTCATCACACTGGCCTGTTGTGTAATGTTATCCCCCTCAAAAAWCCTTAGAAAAACATTCTCAGGAAGTTAGAAAAGCCACATTCTTAAACCAGCTAAACATGAAGATCGCTACTTCCTAAATGAACATTTGCAACATGTCACGGTTCATTTTGTTGGTCAGCTTGACTTCAGAATGAAAAGAAAACTAGCTCCGTTTCCTCCCACAGCATGATGTCTCATATGAAGCATCTTGGTTCCCTCAGTCTTACAGCCACAGAATTATTATTGCAGTGAAAAAACATGATGCTGCATCAGCTGAATGCTGCAGGGAGGAGGCAGTTCAGCTGTGTATCAAACACACTGCTACACATCATCCTGCACATGAGTCGTGTATAGGAAATGTGATACACAGTATGCTGCATCTTCGTAGATTAGGCAGCAAGAATGCACATTATTATTAACCTTTATTTAACCAGGCAAATCTCATTGATATTGTAGAGCTGTTTTCCTTTTTGGACTGTGGGAGGGAACCACAGTAGCCAGAGAAAACCCACGAAAACATGAGCAGAACATGCAAATTCTAAAGAAAGACCCCAGGCCTAACCCGTGGCTAGAATCCAGGATGTTCTTGCTGTGGGGCAAAAATGCTAACCGCTACTCCACCATGGTGCATTTTTAAAAAATCTCATATGTCATCAACAATTTGGTAATGCCAGACTGTATTTTTATGTGAGTGATCAGGTGTATAAACAAAGTCTAATTCAGAGCTTTTTCTTCTGTGATTTTCACATTTCATTCACTCACAGACACACACACACACACACACACACAAACACATCGTGCTGCAGCGGTGAATCTGCCTTCTGATCGACTCTTCAGAGGAAACTAACTGACAGATGGTGTTATTAAATAAATAAGTGTTCAAACTTTCCACCCCCATGGTTTTAYCTTTGATAATTAGCTGCAGCAACCAGCATCAGGGTCAAACGAATCAAATTACTCAAAGAATTGAAACTTTTATTAATGCATGTGTCTCTGTTTTTATATTAATATTTTCAGCTGAATGTTTGCTTCTTTGGTAGAATTTGTTTTTGACACAATATAAAAAACTAATTTAATTCTAAAGGGAATTTTTTGTGGTGGTGGTACTTTTTCTCATTTTACAAACAGTACTGATAGTGGAAATAATGGATTGTGTTTTTCTCAAGTTGACACCTACACTGCTGTTACATTAGTGAAATTAAACCCTCAGGAAAACAATCCAAGCAGTAACTAAACAAATATTTTTTTCCACCATCAATATGTTTTTGTCTCTCTGTGAGCTTGCCAATATGAAACATTATGCTCATGCTATGTGAGAAAATTATGATTGTGTAAAGAAATTTTTATTTTTTTTATCACCCACTGCTGTCAAAACTATATTTGCCTGCATGTGTGTCTATCTGTTAACTTAATATTGAATTAATCACTGGACAAATTTTATTGAAACTGGAAAGTTATGATTGGATGGACGCTTACAGCTGAATAACTTTTAGAGTTAACTTGATTCAAGTTTAGRATTATTCTCAACTCTCAACTCTGACTGTGACATCTCATAATATTTCATGAGATCATGATATATTATTTTCAAGGTTTGACCAGAATGGATACAACTCTTTCATTCCTCAACATTAAAGGATTTTAATCTAAAACTCTGGCATGAATGGCAGCAGCCGGGTCATATGTATTCTTTCTAGAAATATTGGGGCTTTAATTATATTGTCTTTTTATCTGATTTATGATTAAGTTTGCATGAATGACAAATAACAGACATTATTGCTCAGACGTATGTTGTTAGAGAAATTTAACTCAAAAGTGCCTAAACTTTTGATGACAAATGCTCATTACTTTAATGATGAAGCAGGTTGTGTTTGATGTCTGGGGGGATAATTCTATTATGAAAGAAACACAACTATAACGATGAGCCCTAATTTGAATTATTGCTGCAGTTCTATTGTAATATTATTGCATTAGTGTTCTGAAAAACTTTTATTCCACCWAGCCTGCCACTCTCTTATTAAGGGTTTAATTTGACCTCTTATTTGAGCATGAAAATAATAATAACTAAATGTTGCTTTTATTGCAACATTACACCAGGATTGATTAAATTAAGCATTTTTACTTGGTAGACTATGAATACATCCACTAATATGCACTGAAATAAAAGTTGCATGCTTTGTGTTATTCTCAGGATCATCCACGAAGACGGCTACTCAGAAGACGAGTGCAAGCAGTATCGAGCGGTTGTTTACAGTAATACCATCCAGTCTATTATGGCTATTGTTAAAGCCATGTCGAGACTCAATATAGACTACAAAAACCCTGCAAGAGTGGTAAGATACACACACACACACACACACACACACACACACACNTATATATACAGTATATATATACAGTATATATACACATAATAATAAAATAAAAAAAGAGAAAAGCTCTGAATGAGTAGGGGGCAGAGTGAAGAAACAAAATCTCATCATATTTGTCCCTTATTTAAAAAAATGAAGGACCAGGAAGTTAAATGTTATTGTCTTCAGCTGTACAGAATCTAACATGTTCTTGACCCAGAATCATTCCTTAATTTATTATTTTATTTAGCTGAATTATCATAAACCTTGCTTTTAAAGAAAACTGTAACGGCAGCAAAATAATAATTTATAATTTAGTTTAAATCCAAGCAGTATGTAAATACAAGAAAAAATATTGTTAACCTGACRTGATGAATAAATGTGTTTTTTTCTGATGTTTGTTTTTCTAATATTTTACAAAAGGAAGTATTTGCACAGATTACAGATAACATGAGGTCTTTACTGGAAGACTATTTAATTGATCGTTTTAAATGATCAAATGAACAACCTGTCCTGAATGTCATTCCTCCTGCAGGACGATGCCCAGCAGCTCTTTGCCCTGGCTGCAGCTGCGGAGGAGCAGGGCATTCTTCCTGAAGACCTAGCCAACGTGATTCGGCGGTTGTGGGCCGACAGAGGCATACGGAGTTGCTTTGCACGGTCGCGAGAATACCAACTCAATGACTCAGCAGCATAGTGAGTTGAAATTTGCAAGTGTTTACAAAAAATGTATCAAATTAACAGTATTATCTCAGCAAAGCAAAATAAAAAGTCAAGTAAACATCTGTGAAAAATTAACCATCACAGTTGTCAAACTGCACCTATCAGTATCTTCTGCTTCTGCAGAAGTGTGACCTTGTGTTTACCAAATAAAAATGTAAACACAGCAAAATGGAAAGTCCCGCCTCATCTCAGGCACACGTTTGATCATTTCCTCTAAATGTAATTACAGGACTTCCTCGTTTAACATCGTTATGAACAGATTGAGATTTAGTTTTTCACCTGAACCTGGTATTGATTACTTTTTATATTTGTGTCATATTAATGGATGTTTATAGCTGCTGCTGCTGGCTGTTGGTATTGATGGATTCCATTTACAACCTCACTGATAAGAGCTGCGCTGAAAACCTGGCGGAGTTCTCCGAGGGAGTAATGGAGACGAGAAAAATAGGCCAATAACTTCCATTTAGTGGATATTTCTCTCTCCAAGGGTTTGGTCTGTAATACTTTAACCTGAGAAGTAGAGCAGGGCTTTGTTGTTGTTGTTGTTGTTGTTTTTTTCTTTAAATGAAGAAAAGAAAGATCTTTTTGAATTACTCAAAGAAAGAAAATGAGTTTCCAAGAAAACTTAATTTTCTTCACTGTGGTTGTTTGAACCTGCTGATTAATTTATGGCAGCTCAATTAGAAATATTTTGTTATGGCAACATAGATAAGAAGGTTTATTGCTTGTTYTGTTTTACTGTAATCAGCACATTTAACAGGTTTGATCAGATAATCAATTATTCAAATTATAAAAACGTGACATGCATGGATGAAGGAAATCAGTGCCATTAAAATGGTGGATTTATCTCTTCCTTTTGGTGAAGTGTAAGCTGGTTGGGCAACTAAAGCTTCCAGCAGGCTTTGGAAGATGATGCAACGCTTGTGTTAGTGGGGCAGCTTCTGGCCAACCCCTTATCCAAAGCACTGCTGTGAAAATGTGCTGAAATGGGAGTGTCTGAAATGGTAGGAGAATCTTAAAGAGACAGAGGCCAATTTCAAGGTGTTTAGATGAAGAGTTAAATTTATTTTGATTTATACAGCATTTTCAGATCAACTCAAGGCAACGGTTACTTGATTGTGATGTAGAATTAAATTATGAGCCTGGAAAATACCCCCCCCCCCCCCAGAATATTATGTTAACTTTAAATGTGCATTGAAAAAGGTTTAAAAAACTAAACAACCAGTTGTTTAGTTTTTGTTCTGAAGTTGAAGATGTTTTGCCTCCCTTTGGGGGGGGTAGTTCTTAATAGGCGTGTGGAGGTCGACGCTTTTAAACTGCTTGTGAAACCCAGTTACGTAACAGAAATTTACATGCAGATGAAGTTATACATCTCTGGAGAGTCATTAGGGTCTTTGCCTGGCTCACAAAAAAGACATTTGGTCTAATGCATGAAGGTGTAAAGCACAGGTTTTGCTTTTTTATTTTTTATTTTTTATTTTTACTTTTTTTTCTCCAGAATTTAGATTGTAATGTATTAAACATATATATGTGGACCAAGAACAAATATTTAGTATTTAGTTTTTGTAAACCGTACTTCAGCTGTACTGCATTTTAAAAATGAATATCCGCATCTGCCATTAAAAATCCTGATCAGTCAACAACAGTGGAGATATGCTGTAAACGCAGAGATTAAAAAAAATAAATGTTGGAAGTTTTATAGTTCATGTAAAAAGTCTTAGCCTCAAAACTTGTTGGACTTGAGATTATTTTATGGTACCCAACCTGAGCACCACAACATTTACAGCTATTTCAGTCCAGAGTAAGCGTATTGACAGAAATCTTCTCCTTGGTTGCTTGTTGTGGCTTTTCTGTTAATTTCTCACAGCGCATCACATGCTGTTAGAGACACGTTCCAGTCTCCCATGTCTCATCACAGAAATATGTTACAGCTCAATGTTTGCCATCCATCTTCTCACGCCGTCTCACTTAACGTAAAATCATTTGATGTCCAGTACCACAAAACTGTGGCGATGCTGGAGGGAAAAAAGGCATTCACTACAGATACTAACACCATGTATTATTCACATATTGTAGCGATGCAGTAGCAACTGAAATGGACAGATGAAACCTTGAAAAACAGTTTTTACTACTGCAGGCTAGAAAATCTGCTGTGCAGGTGATATTTACCTGCAGCATATTAAATCCAGGGATTGTATAAATAAAGCAACAGTGAATCTGTTTTTTTATTACACAGAAAGTTGAGAGGTAACATTTAAATGCAATTGAATGCATAATGTTTGCAGTGATGGTGATTGAGTTAGAGCTTCATCAGGTGGACTTCATCTTCCTCTACAGGAGTCACAAGTCCGACACTTTAGAGCAGAAAAACCATCAGCAGTGAAAATCAACTGGAAAATAAGCTTCAGAATCAATTCTGCACTCACTGAACCATACACAGACAACAAAAGAATCAATTTAAAATTTACCCTTAGCGACGTTAGATTGACTCTTGAAACTGAGCAAAGTGGAGAGTGTGCCAACACTGTTAAATAACAAGTGAGCCTTATGTAAAAATAACAATATGCTTTTGATGATTTGATGTCAAACACAAGTAAAACAGCAATGAGTTACTCTGCATGCACAAATGTCCCCGGTAAGAGTATAATCTATAATCTGAAGAAAATACTCTCTGGACAGTAGGGGGAGATTCGTATGTAATTGCAGTGCTGCAGCACAGTGGAGCTACAGCTCTGCAAGGCTACACCTGGTAAATGTATTTTCATGCAGGAAGCACTTAAACAAAGCTGAAGTGAAAAGTGTGTTGTGGTGTAAAATATCTGATTTATTTTCTGTTTTGCAGGTTTCACAACATGTTGAAGTCTTGATCATTGTCATTTTTTCCCCACCTCATTAGTTACCTGAATGATCTGGAAAGGATAGCAAAAGCAGATTACATCCCCACGCAGCAGGACGTGCTACGAACTCGGGTTAAGACCACCGGCATCGTTGAGACCCACTTCACCTTCAAGGAACTGCACTTCAAGTAGGAACATTTACATATAAATGCATCAAATGCACAATACAAAACATCTTGTCTCTTGTCTGCATCATGTCTAAAAATTAGATGAATACAACTTCCCATAAAAAAAAACATTTTACAATATATTTTGAATTAAACCTGAGTCAAAATGCTCATGTGTTGTTAGGGGTTTAAAATAGATGCAACTTATGTTAAGACCGTCCGTCAACAAAACTGAGTTGCTGGAGTTTTTGGAGGAAAATGTTTGATAAATTTTTTGTTGTTTAACATTTCCAACTAATTGACTGATAAAAAAAAATAAAACAAATAAAATCTAGTTCTCAACCCAAGTGAAATGTTATACAGAACCAATATTGAAGCGACTTTAAGCAAAAAAAAAATCCCCCAAAAAACAATATGGCAATTAGAATAAACAATCACCTGTGGTGCCACTCTTTAGTCATGCAAAATATTAGTAATTTGCAGGAATGAACGAGTTAATACAGCCTCCACAAAGCAACTGATTCATAATCAGAGGGTGTATTTGACATAAAGTGAACTGAATGTCAACATGGTCCCCCAGTGTTCACTCACCTTTTATGCTGCAGTACAGAAAATCACTGACCGCCATGTGGTTTTATCAGTAACGTGTGAGTGAAACACAAGTTTATTAAAATCTCTACTATTTTTGGAAAAACAAACTGATATACAGTACAATATATAAAATATGCTCACGTCATCACTTGTGTTTTTATTTATTCCACCTTCAACGCCAAGAAAATGTCATCCTGACCTTCTCAGTGCATTTGTGTGTAGGCAGGCCGTGCACGGCTGCTGACAACTTCCCCCAGCAAATTTAATGATCCCAGCATTAAATGCAATAAAAGTGACTGTCTCTGCTTGTTCAAAATATGCAACTCCTCTACTTAGAAGCCAAATAATGACAGCAATTAAAAGCTTAATCATCATTATTGCACTTGGAGCTGAGTAAATGAATCTAATCTGCCCACCAGGTTCCTGTTCAATAAAGCAAGAGCTGGATTGAGTGATAGCATTTTAGCACATGACACACACTGCTGCTGGTCTTACATAAAATATGTTCTGACACAGTCTAAGCTCTGATGTGTGGGCTTCAAGTGAATGTATCTGTTTATCATGATTAAGAGACGCTTTAAWGAGCGGAGAAAATGGACAAATATATCAAAGGTATGACCCGTGAGACATAAAACTGATAAAGAACTTTTACTAAGTGATGTCTTGCAGATTTCAGGTGTTTAACTGTTCTTTTTAAAATAGTCTAAAAAGATAATTTAAAAAAGCACCTATAGATGTGACTAATTCAAAAAGGCAGCAGCAGCCGCGTGGTTCTGGTGTGACCTGCTTCCTGATAAACTCTGTGACATTTACCCCGTGTCTCTGCCTCAATATTTGGCCTGAATAATACACGGAGAAATCAATAAAGAAAAAGAGAAGAAAGAGTTTTTTTCCTCCCTCCATTTAGTAATTGTGGCAAACACTTAAAGATAGAGGAAAATGTCAGTGGTTTAATTTAAATATATCTAAACAGTTGTCTCAGAAGATAACAGATGTCATCAGAGTGTCTAAATCAGAATCAGTCATCATCACAGAGGGCTGTTATCACCTCCACTTTTACACGCATTTCCATTTTCCAGAGCCACATCCAGCTGACCCTCCAGTCTTTTGTCCATTATCTGACAGACATCCTTCCTCTCCCTCACTACTTTAGTTCTTATAACAATCTCATGAAAATATAATGTGCCTTTAAAGATTAAATGTCAACCTTATTTCCTCCCTCATGGCAGTTTCTCCTGTAAAATCCTTTTCAGCTCTCTACCCTTTATATTAACCTCATTTTAGTCTTTTTTATAATTAATTTAACACTCAAGTTGCTGGAACAGWAGAGGAAAAGGTGTGTTTAAAAAACAAAATCTTATTATTTACTTTCAGAATGTTTGATGTTGGAGGCCAACGCTCAGAGAGAAAGAAGTGGATTCACTGTTTTGAAGGAGTAACAGCCATCATATTTTGTGTTGCACTGAGTGCTTATGACCTGATGCTGGCTGAGGATGAAGAGATGGTAAGGAAAAACCTCTTGCTCTGACGCACGCATGCATATTTGTGTAAAATGAATCACATTACTGTCCTGATGCATCTCAGTAATCCAGGTAAAAAATCAAAGGAAAAAAAAATTGTATAGGTCCTCTGGACGGGTTCTTC